ATCCAACGCTGCACACATACATCCGTCTCCCTCATCTTTTAAGTCCACACGATCAAATAGCCATATACATAGAGTATAAACGTTCAAATAGCCGCATGCATCACTAGTTTAAATTTTAAAAATTTCAAATATTACATCCTAACATTGTTGTATCCTTTAACCGCACACTGATGCTCAATCAGATCTTCCTTCAATTGCTTGTGAGTTGGTCGATGCCGAATTAATTGATGCATTCGAATAAACTCTTCAATGTGGCCGGATTCTGTTCTGAAAGTTCGATAGGATCACCCATGTTCTCAAATTCTAGAGCCGCGGCAGTATCCTCACCCTCATCCTTGACGATCATGTTGTGCATGACCACACAACATGTCATCACCTCCTACAAGGTCTCCGGATCCCATTGTTTAGCAGGTCCATGAACATATGCAAAACGGGTTTGCAGAACTCCAAATGCCCTCTCAACATCCTTTCTGCCCGCTTCTTATCTTTGGGAAAAGTGAGCCTTTTTTCTGGCCAACTAGGTTAGAGATGGTGCTGACAAAGGTAGCCCACGGAGGATAGATACCATCAATCAGATAGTAGTCCATGTTGTACTCATCTCCATTGATAGTATAGTGACAAGGAGGAGCTTTTACTTCAGTCAGCCTCACAACACAACGGTGATCGCTGCAACACATTGATGTCATTGTGAGGCCCGAGCATGCCAAATCCAAAGATCATGTGGTGCAACTTCTTCAAGAATGATGGTGAGCTTCTTAACATTACCCTGATATTGCCTTTGTAAAGCCTTCAACGACTTCTTTCATTTCCAATGCATGCACTCAAGAGATCCAAGCAATCTGGCCACCATCTTGCTTCTTAGATTGCTAGGAGCCTCTCGGTGTTTGCCACGGCTAGTTCTATCAAGTACTGAGGTCCGAACACCTCGACCACGGCAGTTGCAAACTTGACCATGGCATCTCCGCATGTGCTCTCAGACATTCGTAGGTACTTGTCCCACGAATCAACGGTCGATGTCAAAGCAGACGGTGATCTGGGGAGCCCGAGGAATGCCACGGGGAGCCATAGGGATGCCGGACAACTCGAACTTGCCCAACAGGTTGTTGTTCTTGGTCAGCGCGCGCTCGCCCTCAAATACCTAGATCAGGATGCCCGACTGGTTGTCCGACTAAGTGGAGAAGATCTGCTCCTTCTTGGTCGGGATGGTGGTGTTCCACGGGATGAGCACCGTCATCACACCGCCGACAGTCTCCAGGCCGAGGGACAGGGGCGTGACGTCGAGCAAGAGCAGGTCCTGCACCTTCTCGTTGCCCTCGCCGCTGAGGATGGCGGCCTGGACGGCGGCATTGTAGGCCACAACCTCGTCGGGGTTGATGCTCTTACACAACTCCTTGTCGTTGAAGAAGTCCTAAAGCAGCAACTGCACCTTGGGGATAGGAGTCGACTTGCCGACGAGCATGACGAAAGAGGATTAGGGGGTGGCGCCGATGGTCGGGCCATCTACTCCTAGCGGTGCCACTAGAACCAGGATGACGACCACGAAGAAAGCGGGCGGTTTCATCATTTGGAAAGCTGAGAAGAGAAGACGAGCAAGAGGAGAAAGAAGGGATTTGATTTTATGCTACTACGCTAATGGTGGAACTGTAGTTGCTGCGGGACGTGGTGCTGCGGAGGCTGAGAGCGGCGGAATCGCTCCAATTGGCAGTGGAAGATGGTTGGCTGCGGGATGTGATGTTGCGCAGGCTGAGGGCAGCGGAATCGCTCCAATAGGCAGTGGAAGATGGTCGGCAACCGTGGCAAAGCTTCATGGGGCCAAAGGGGGCCATTGCCCCCCTACTCTAGGAAAACTCGCAAGTGTACCCCTAATATTATTAGGCTTGAATATCAAAAATTTCTTAGAGTTCATGCATGATTTATCTTTTTCGCTCTCTGAACTCTTATTTGCCCCCTCAACAATCTTCATCAATCTCCATCACTGTCGGCAGGTAAGTGCAAAAAATCCCAAGCAGGAAAGAGCAAATAATGAAAGCATAAAATGTTTCGTTTTTTCAGGGTGGTAGTTCCCATGGTTGTGGTTGTGGAGGACGCATATGAATTGGGAAGGATGAACATTTGCCTAGGTCCTCCCTCTTTATATAGGCACGGTATAAGGAGGGATGGTCTATCCAGAACGGAGTGTAGGCCCAATCTACGTAGACCGAGGTCATGCTTCTTTCGATAATAGCCGTGCTTCCTTTTGATGACGGACTTGCTTCCTTCTATCCCCATGGACCATGGTTAGCTGCATAAAGAAAGAGTGACATGGATGGAACGACGATGTAGCAACAATGCACCATTAGCCGAGGGCCTCCTTGACAACAAAGTAGGGTCAGTTGGGTATATCAGATTAAACCTAGCTCAATCGAGGACGTGAGGCATAGTTTCCTACAGTCGGTTGGGCGTGCTGCCGACGCTGTCGATAAGGGCCTACCCTCGAGGCGAAGGAACCAATCTCCGGTCGCTTGATGATTCTCCGACGCCTATTGAGCCTCCCTGTTATGATGGGCATTGTAGCCTTCTAGTACTACTAATCAAGCACATAAAAATCAAGAATAAGATAATCCAATCATTGTGAGGTGAAAAGAAAAAATAGTAAGGAAGAGGAACACACATGTCAACTTCTGTTTCCGTGGGGACACAAAGGACATGGGGGTTCGACCCCCTAAGAGCATGTACAGCCGGGTACAACGAATCCGACCCCTCAAACGCCTGTGGACGTGAACGGGCGCGTCCGTGGACAACCCTCAAATTTGTGTCTCTGCATCCAAATACCTCATATTTGAATCTTTAAAGACATACAAACCATGCAGAATAAATATCTACGTACTACGTAGGTCAACTAAACCTACGCTAGACTACTCGTCGTAGGAGATGTCCACTATCCTCGTTCCGGGCTCCGGTACATGGGCATCAAACACAATCCGGCTCTGTGGCGGCCTCCACCTCCATCTCCGCTTTCACCTCGTCCAAAAGCGCGTTGGTCTCCGCCTCTTCTTGCCAGATGAAGCATCGATTGGACTCGACATATGCCTCGTCTTGGATGGACTCCAGGATGGTGGTCTACTCCACCGCTTGGCTGACCTCGTATTCCGCCACGGCGTCCTACATGGCGAAACCCGCAACCGGCGCTGACTCCTCCTCCTCCATGGGCTCCGGCTGCTGCTCCCTCCTATTCCTCCTCCTCCGGCTCCGGTGAGTCTGGAGGCATGCCGCCTACAATGCGGGTGGCGTGCCTCGTCCGGATCTCCTCCTCAATTTGAAACCGGCACTCTGGTGTGAGTATAGCAATACGTCGTCTTCTTTTGACGCGCTATGGCGAAGCCGACATCATGGGAAGAGTGAGGTGGAGCGGAAGAGAGGAAGATGGGCTCGGACTAGCGGCGCAGAGAGGGAGGAACCGGATGTGGCTACGGCTGGGGGACGCCTCCGGCTTAAATAGCCGGACCTTGGTCCTCGGGCGGCGAGCCGGAGCAGCGCCACACGGCGTTCACACCCCATTGGAGGAGACGACCATTGAACCGTCGATTTTCCCCATCGCCAGTCCGACAAGGCGGACGCGCCCAGGCCGCCCCATATCCACCCCAGATTTGGGCTGGATATGAGGGGTGACAGTCAGCCCGGGCGTTTGAGGCCGGTTTGAGGCGCCCGTCTGGGTCGGGTTTTTTGACCGGTCACTGACCGGGCCGTACGCCCAGGCATTTGAGGCGGGTTTGGGGTTCGCGGCTGTAGATGCTCTAACGCCGGGATGGTGCACCAACGTGGTCGCCCGGGCCGGGACGCGTTAGTGGAGAGAGAGGGATAGGGAGGAGTAGAGGAACGGATCTAGGTGGCAAGCTGGCTGCTCCGCTGCTATGATCGATGAGACGATGACAAGGTGTGAAGGAATCCGACGATGTGCTCTGCAATCGGACAGGATGGCGCGTTGCGGTTGACGACAAGATCGGGTAGGTGTGGGTGACGTGAGAGAAGGAGAGGATTCGGGAGGGATATCCGGGCGAGTGGTTAAGGGGGATTAGGGATGGATGCGGGCGGTTTCCTACGAGTTGACATTTTTTTTTGTTTGCAAAAACATAAAGATGGTGGACCGCGAGATTCAACTACAATCAACGGCGCTGGATCAGTCTGATGGATGCTTCTAATTGCTCTACTGATTAGAAGTATTTCCCTCGAACGTCGGCCTGCGCGCACGCACAGGCAAAGGAAACAAAAGCTACGAATTTCCCAAAAATGGCTCCCCTCTCCCCCCGCTCCCCTCTCCCCCTCGTGGCATCGCCCTCCCCTGGCTCCGTCCCGGCGACGTCCCTGCCCTGTGCAACCTCCCCTCCTCCCTCCCCCCCGCAGACCCCTCCGGGCTTTGCTCCGGCGGCGCGTGCCGCTCCCCTCTCCTCTCTGCCCTCCCGCTCTCGTCCTACTGCCCCTCTTCGGGTTAACAAGTTCTGGGCGCTTGATTCGGATGGCTTCGGGTTGGATTCTGAGCCTTTTTCTCCCCCTCCCCGCCTTGTCTCGGGTTGCGGCTCCCCTGTGGCTGTGGTGGCTGGTCGCCGGCGGAAGTTCGCGCCGGGGGGGCGGGGGCGGCCCGCCGGGCCTGCCGTGGATGTGGATGGATGGCGTAGAGTCTCGCGTGGTCGTCGGCGTGCTTCGTGTTGTTTCCCTGTCTCGTTGCCCGTTGGGGTGGTGGGGGATGCTCCGTCGCCTGCGTCTTGCTCCCCGGCAGGATCCCTTGCTTGCCCCACCGCGACGGCGGGCTCTGTCGCTTCGGTGGCGCCGGCTCTGGGGTCAACCCTAGATCTGGGTTCGGGGGCGACGCTGGTTCCCCTGCCTGTGGTGCGGGCCCTGGTGGGTGCTGTTGGGCCTTGTGGGCCGGCTCCAGGTTTGGCTTTGGAGTCCTTTTCTGTTCCCCCCCTCCCGTCTTTGGTCTCTGGGCCGCGGGTGGCCCAGGTCCAGCCCACCCCTCCTGTGAGTATCTGCACCGAGTCGGGCCTGGCTCGGTCTAGGTACTTATGGGTGCGGTGGGGTGCGGTTCCCCCATTTCTAGGGTTTCCGGCCTCCTCCTCAGATCTATCTCGTCACCGTCTTCCCATCCGCCGCTTTGTTAGATCTGCTCCCCCTCCCCTTTCCCTCTCCTTTGCGGCGGTGGCTGCAATGGACCGCTCTCGTGCTTCCTCCAGTGAGGCAGTCTCCGGGAAGAAGCGGGGGCGTGATGGCTCCGGTGACGCGGCCGCGGATCTGGAGTACGAGGCAGCCCTCCGTGCGAAGCTTTAGGCCTCGCTCGCCCTGGAGTCGGGGTCAGCGGCGGCGTCGGCTGGTGCCTCTCCTCGTGCTTCTGGTTTGGGCCCGTCGGCTCCCCCCGTGTCTGGTGCTCCTTCGGCTGCGGTCGATCCCTGGGAGCTGGCGGCGGCGGCCAATCGGGCGGGCTCGTCGGGGCCTTCCCAGGTGTCGCCTCCGCTGGGTGCCGCTCCCCGGGGCGGCGCTCCGGTGCGTACTCCGGCGGTGGCTGGGGGCGGGCCGTCCCGCTTTGTTCCCCGTGGCACGTCGGGGGCCCCGGCTCGTCGCCCTGTCGGTCTCGTTGCGGGGCGGGGCTCCGGTTCTGGGCCCGCTGCGTCTGGTGATGGTATCCTCCCTCCTCCTCCTCGTGGATCTGGTCTCATCCCCCCATTCCCAAGTCTCCAACCCCATCCTCACCTGTTTTGCTTGTCACCGCCCCGGCCACTTCCAATCTCGGTGTGAGAATCCTCCCTTCTGCCTCGTCTGTAGGGAAGACGGCCACCTTACGGTGGACTGTCATAACCGTTTCAAGCCACCCGCGTTTGTTCATTATGGCACCGACCTCCCTGGGTGTTCTTTCTTTGCTTTAGATAAGGGGATCCCGGAGGCTGCCCCTATACCGTCGCTTTCCAATGTTGGCATCATCACCGTCCAGGCCAAACGCATCTCCTCCCAGATCCTTCTTGATGAACTTCAGCTGTGGGATGAGGGTGGTTGGGATTGGAAGATCCGCCAACTGTCTGATTTTGATTTTGCTGCGACTTTTCCTTCCAAAGAGAGCCTCCGCATGATTTCCTCTTGCACTAGCTTTACGCTGCCTCTGAACCAACTTGTGGTCTCGGTCAAAGCTGCTTCTAATGGGTCTAGGGCGATTTCCTCTCTGTCTGATATATGGGTATTGGTCGAAGATGTTCCTCCTAACATGCGCACCATGGTGTTTCTCCATGGCTTTCGGAGTTCTAATCGGGAAACCAATTGAAGTGGACCAAGATTCGCTGGCCATCCTGGGGCCGGCCCGGGTTTGGGTCTGGTGTGTTGACCCCCTATGCATTCGCGGCGCCATCGATGTCTTCCCTGTGGCAGGTGGCTTTCGGCTTCGGGTGAGGGTGGAGGGGGCCTCGGGCCCAGTGTCTCCTCCTCCCCTGCCCCCAGCCTCTGGCAATGGCAACAAGAGTCAAGATGGGGATGGATGCCCCGATGACTCCATGCGTGGGACCGATCCTCGTTTCACCCAATCGAAGTGGGATGGTCTTTCACCTGAAGATCAGGAGATGCTTAAGGAGAATGCGCCTGCTGGCAGGGGGCCCCAGGATTCGGGGCCTGTTGTGGAAGGTGGGGGTGCGGCCTCTGGTGGGGCTAAGGGCACGCCGTTCTTGGCGGTGTGCTCCAATCTCCCTGCCCATCCCGCTTCCCCCCTCCTTGTCTAGCATTGAAGATCTTCCCCCGGCTGGCCCCGCTGTGTCTAAGAAGAAGAAGAAATCCTCTGTCAAGAAATACTCTGCCAAGAGCCGGGCTTCTGGTG